AGATGGTGATGATAATAATATGGATAACAATAACAATGGCAACAATAATAAAAATGATGATGATAATTTTAAATTAAAAAAGGTATGAAGAGATAAAGAAATTGATGATAATAAATTATAAAAAGATTTTTACTTCTTTAATTTTATTTTCTATATATTTTTAACATTGAAAGTTTTCAATTTTATCAGATAGAGAAACTTAACCAATACATCAAATCACTTTCACCAACTAGAAAGAAAAGCTTTCATTAATTGTCTGGTGTGATTTGCTATTAAAAAATTAATTAAAGAAAAATTCAGTAATTTGTAATTATCATTGAAAAATCAATTAAAGATTTATTTGCTTAATTTCAAACTAAAAATATATGAATAAATCCAATAATTGACAATTTGACTTGGTGATAAATGTCTTAAAAAAGTGCTACTAGTTGTCTTGGTTTTTTTTTCCTTCTCTTTCTCATCATCATGGCTAAAATCTAGAAGATTCGCCTTCCATTTTCTTCCTCTTCCATCCTCTGAACTATTCAGCAACTCACTATGTTTTTGAGAAATTTTCTATGGTTTCTAATAAACTCATACCCATATCCCGAGCTCAAACTTCTAAAACGTCCTAAACTGGTATGAATACCTTAACTGAAAATCCAAAAAATAACCGCTCTCACATTATCAAAATGGCATTAAAGCAATCTCCTTACTAATTTTTGCGACACAATGATGATGGATATAGTGATGGTTATCAATTCACTACTTTGTCGTTATGCCCAGCATGTAAGCAAAATCATAAGAGGCCGACGTGAGAGATAACAACATAAATCGGCAATCAATCACGCGATAAAGATCATCAAGAAGAAAATTTTATCAATTGTACGTATTCTCCAACCAATTCAAAATTAGAGCTTTCTGAATATGCACTTTCTATTTGTTTATAAATGTCACTAGATTTATTATTATTTCTTCATTATTTGCTTGAATTATTAAACTCAATCTCGCTTGCGTTTGCGTGGATGGTTTTATTGGAACTTGTAATCTTTTTCT